GGGGGGGGGGGGGGGGGGGGGGGGGGGGGGGGGGGGGGGGGGCACGCGGAGGGGAAATGCAGTGTTCAGTAGGAGGGCGGGGGGACGGGGGACGGTGATAACCCCTGAGTGATGCTACGTGTTGTGTGCAATGGTCTTGTGGTTTCATCGCGTCAGCAGCAGTAACACGTGCACAGCTGTGCCCCCTCCCTACGCTGACAGCAAACCCAGCCAGGTATAATTTAGCGAGTGCAAATCCCTGTCAAAGCTGCGTATTCATCCCAGTTTCCCCGTCTTTGGCTCAAACACTACGATTTCAGCACTTCGTCTTCGCTCAAACTGGCACTCCACCCGCATGAACGTGGTCCGTTTGCAACGCTCGACGCCATCATCGATCGCATCGTTAGTGTTCATTCACATCGATGGATACATAGACTGCTGCCGTTGATCACATTCGCTACTACTTTTACCAGTCACGACTCTCCGACGACTGACTTTCGAGTCACGGCGGTATGACCTGACGGTTGTTGGACTGACTGACCTTAAGGAGGACCACACGGGCGTCGTGCATCTCTCCGTAGTTGTCGTACATGAGTTTCTTCACGCCCTCGCCGTCGTCCATCTCTGGCAGATCGTAACGCTTAGCGCGGAATGCCTCGCAGATCTTCTTGATCTTTGACTCGATCGCTGCCGCCTGAAGCACGAATGAACAAAAAAGAAACAAAACAATGTGAAGAGGGGGGGTTCCTGAAACACGAGCAAAATAAAAGAACATGACCATTGTGAAGAAGATGGAACTCAATCGTCCTCTGCAGACAGGCGTGGGGGTAGATTTTACTTTTCGTGGAAGGGGATCTTCACAACATTTAAGGAAAAAAGAAACTAAACTAATCTACGCAGATCTTGTTGGTCTTGGGGCTCGATCGCTGCCGCTCCAAGCACGCAAAAATACTCCATGTCAAATCCAGCCGTGAGGATTGCAACCCGACATTGGAAGATGGAGGGGATCCATAGGATATGGTGCGAGGGACACTTGTTCGCCACAGCAACGGTCGTTAAATCATTGAGCAAGCAGCAAGCAGCACCAGGATGGTGGTGAACCGTCATACGGCGATAACCATTGGTTCCAAGAGAAACAATGGCGCCATCGGAGGCGAACTCTGTCAAACGTCAAAGAAAAGGACTACACGACTCGCTTCCTCCCAAATCTACCACACCGACAGCATCCCCGATAGCAGTAGAGCTAATGGGAGCCGTATGCGTCGAAACAAGAGCCAAGGTGAGCGGTAACAGCCAACACGAGAACATAAGTGCTCTTTCTCGACCAAAACCCAGAGTCTTGTACAAACAAAAACCATTGCTTGCTCCGGAAGTTTTATACTAGTACATTTTCTACCTCTTCCCCGAGAGCTTGGCAACAAGACGACGCACAAGGAATAACGCACCTTGTAGAAGATGATGAAGACGAGCTTCATCACCTGCTCCCCCGTGGTGGGGTCGGAGATGGGCTGCTCGATCTCGGCGAAGCGGACGTAGCAGTTGCCCCGCGTGGTGCGGAAGAGCTGCCGCTCGAACCGGCTGCGGTCGTCGGCACCGACCACGCCCGCGATGTACGAGAACTTCATGTCGCTCTCGCGGGTAGGCTGTTTTTTTTTTTATAATTTTTTTTGTTGGGTTTTCCGTCGTCGACATCGTCGTTGTCGTAAGCGGTGGCGGTGAATTGTTCCGAGAGTTTTGCCGTCGTCGTCCGAGTGGGCAGGAACGACGAGGAAGAGTGCGGGGCGCAAGAAACAAGCAGGGCCGCGGGATTGGAGCACACGGTGAGCTCGCTCCACGTCAACGTGTGAGTGTGAATCAAAAATGAACCGGAATATCCCTTGTCTCGGCCGTTCATTTTTTTGCGTGCCAAACAGTGGTCATCGCTTCGTTGAATCTGAGAACATCACAACTGTGGACAGCTCTTCTACTCCCAATAGCGTTCTCTCTTGCTCCTACTGCTTCCTATCGCTTGGGCCGTCGCCCCACCCTCCCCCCGAACCCAGCGGCCGCCACTTTCACTTTCTGTCCCCGTGCGCGCCGCACCAGACGCAAGCTACAGCAGCAGCACTATATCGCATGCATGGACGAACGAGCGACCCGATGAGGTGGGCATACACGCGCCGAGTTACTAGGCTTGTTGTGCTCGATAGGCATCTTTGTTGTATGCCATCTCAACTAACTTTTCTTCAACTCGATTTCAGTATATGCATCCCAAATCGACAACAAAGACGTAAGGCAAAAGCCCACCGAGCACAAGCCTACGAGTTGCCTCGAAATCAAGCATGCCCTCGACCTCCGACTCCATGGAAACCGTGAGGTCCTCTGCCGCCACTATGCGGCCCAGAAAACGGGGGCTGCCCGATGGTCGGGGACTTGGGGGACGTGTAAACGCCGGGGAGGCAAGGGCAGTATCCCGAAAGGTGAACTCTCCCCCACGCCCCTTGGAAAGCGGGAGCCGGAACCACCGGTTCAAGACCGGCTCCACGCTGAGGGGCATAACTTCAACAAGCCTACTGCCGTCGTGTTGAGAAACCATCGTCTTCCATCTTTTGATAGTCGGTGAGTTTCCGTCCCAACAAGACTCGAGGAGCCGGCCCCTCAACCACGACACACCCGTGGCGCCATGGGTGTGTTGTGGTCGCGGGGCCGACTCTTCGGTTCTTGTTGGGACGGAACTCAAGTCGACTACGAAGATAGACGATGGGTTCTCCACGTTGAAGAAGGCGGTAGGCTTGCTGAAATATGCCCCCTCAGCGTGGAGCCGGTTTTCAACAGGTGGCTCTGGCGCACCAGGATCTATATTATGCCCCCTCGCTGGCGCCCGCTTTCCAAGGGGCGTGTGTGGGGGTGTAACTGTCGGGATACCACCCATGCCGGGGTTCCAACCTCCGGGGTTTACGCATCCCCGACTATTGAGCAGCCCCCGTTTTGCAGGTCGCACCGGTACGTAGTAGCGGCACAAGACCTTGCGGTACGGTACATCGTGCTTCCGAGGCAACTCGGCTACATCGTTGCCACAGCCGCGTGCGTGCCCTTCTCAACGGGCCGCTTGTTCGCCCTTGCACGTGCGTATGTGTTACTGCTGTACCTTGCGTCTGGTGCGGCGGGCGGGCGGGCGGGCGACCGTCCCCAACGACAGGAAGCAGAACAGGTAACATAGCAAGAGATGGCACTAGGGGGTGGTACGTACAACACCGCAATACTGATTGTTTCTACCCCCGTACTGTAGCCTTCCGAGCATGGTGTCCTGGTGGATTCGGATGAATTGTCAATCCTGGTCTTCAGGCATATACCTCATTGGTATTTTGCTGCCGCTGTAGTTCAGTTGGTTCCAATGTACGAGTACCATGTAGCCGTACTTCCGCGCAAATCTCTGCGCACAGTCAAGGCCAACGCCTCATCTACAACTAGATATGAGGGGCGCAGGCATCTCACAGATGGATGACTGAACCGCAAAAACGAAGCACGGGATCGAAGCGCTGCACGTAACAACTATTCACTACAAAAGCTGTCGCTTCCGCTACCTTCGCCCCTAACAGACTGGCAGGGAACCAAGGTGATGCACGACGTTTTGCTGTGGAGACGAAGTGCTCCATGTTCTTCCGCCTACCTGCACTCCTCCCCCGCTGACCTGAACGGAACCCCGCTCCACGTCTTGGTACCTGCGTGCGCCCATCGACTGCTCCTCGACTTGCATGTGCGGCATCTGGTCACCGCAAGGGGCCATGCGGGTACAGCAAGGTGTGCGGGGGGCGTGGTCGCAGCAACGGGTGCCAAGGGGCCACGGGGGTAAGGGGGGGGCCAAGACAGATTTGCAGCCACAGCAGTCGGGCGTCCGTCCGCCTTTCCAAGTTAAGAACCGCACCAATTGTGGCCATCGTTTTCGTTAGAATGAGTCGCACGGCAGAGTCTACCAAAACAAGGCACTTCGTCTTGAAGTGCAGTAGACAGCTTGAACGTGTTTGTGTATGTGTGTGTGTTTTTTTTTTTGGCAAATTTTATTTTCTAGGGGGCGCTACGCATAGCAACTTCTTAATCAAATCAATCCCACGAGTGGCCCGGCCCGCCTGCACTACACCAAGCAGCACAAGTGGTTCGGAACGAGCGTGGTTACCCCCCTACTGCTGTACGATGTACTCAATCGAAACCCAACACCGTTCAACACCTTGCAACACAAACAAACAACGAGAACGATGACAACGACGACAGCGGCAATGGGGGGTTGATTGTGCTGAAATGTCACCTCGGCTGCGAACAAACCCTTGGTCTTGAGCAGGACTTCCTGGAGTTCCACCTGATGTTTCCGCGTAGCGTGGACGGGGTCGGACAAGGGGAAAGGACGGGGTCGAACAGAGGGAAAGGAGACGGAAGGAAGAAGCTCGATTCACATGCACGTTCAGGGCGGCGGGAGTAGGCAGCTACAATCTTGAAGCGCTGCTGTGCTGTGTAGTACAGCAGCAGAAATATTAAGAAACACACGGCTGTACCGGAAAGCCAGCCCGACTGTTGTTCGCTACGTTGGGATCGCCGTACTCCTGGTGAGGAAGGTCCCCGCAGTACGCGTTACCCCCCTCCTGTTCTTGTCGCCCCCTCTCAACTCCTTTGGCACGACCACAAACGCCGGACGACTACGCTACTACTACACCGGAAACACCCACGGCGCCCCCTTGTTCCGAACAGGGGGGTATGCACAAAAATAAATGGAGGAAACACAGGCGAGCAAACCGGCCTTCTCGTTTGGACGACGACGAGCTGGTCTCCCTACCACGCACGTGCGACTTCAAGGCAGTTACAACCATTGCCACAACAAATACATAACATACCGCGCAGCAAAGACAACGAAAGACCTTCGGCAATCTCTCGACCTTCTCAGTGCGGGCTGCTGTTTCTTGTTCTCAAGAACCTGTTCTCAGCGGTCAGGTTCTTAACACACTCCATGCCGACGTGTCTATGAACCCTGCATACATGAACCCCCCCCCCCCCNGAACCCCCCCCCCCCCAGTTCTCAAGCACTTGTGGCAGGTGGAGTAGAGTACACGACAACGGCATCACAATGACAACATCATCAGCGAACGGAGCAGACCACCCTCAGTCACCACAGAACCAACCACACACGCAACCCCTTCTTCGCTCGCCTTCTCATTGTACTCGCTCGTGAGGCGCTCGTTGTACGTGTTGAGCTCCACCAGGTGCGACTCGAGCGCCTCCAGGTCCGTCTCCAGCTTCTGCAGGAGGGCCTGCCCGCCCAGCACGCTCTTCGCCTCGGCCCCGCTACCCATGCCCTGCGCCGCCGACGACTGCACGAACGACTCGACGGTGCCCGCGCTGGCCACCTTGAGGTCGAACTTCTTCACCTGTGATAAAACGAGTAAGTAGTGTAGCAGCTACCGTCAAGCAGCTTACAGCGGCTTGTGCTGTCTTGAAGTTTTGGGTCGAGCTTACTGTGGTGGTTGTTGTTGTGGCGGTGTAGCAGTCGTTTGCGTCGTATGTACATGTTTGTTCCGTGGTAGCAGGAATCCATCGAGGTGAGAGCCCAAAGCACAAGCCTAAGTAGGTGTTGGATGTGGTCGCGCATTCAGCGCGATAATGATGCAGGTACACAGAGGTCACCGCACGGAGCTGTAAGCAGCGCAGATACACAGAGCGGGGTCCGTGTTCACGTACAGCAGTACTGCCACGTACACGGAAAATTCGGCAAGCGACGGGAGGCACTAGGAAGGGGACACCAGCGCTTTTCGCCGACGATCACGAGGCGGAGATCAACGTAGCGTGCTCTGGCGGAAGCGCGAGGAAGTTTCATCCAGTCTGCAACGGTACACAATTGCTATGCAGGCCGCAAATCGCGGTTGTGGATATCGACAAGTACATTGCTCTTCGGCATTGACTGAAGTCGAGACATCCAACATGCCTGTACCTGGAACCCCGTATGCCACTTGGTTATAATACTTGTGGTTCTTTCTCGAGTCGAACAGCAAGTGGAGGTGCTAACAGTCGGAGGACAACCCTCCCACCACCTGCACCATTGCTGAGTGCTTTTGGATTCTACACGAGGGGGGGGGAATCCCCTTGTCACAATTGAAAATAGCAGGGCAAGGCCGGCCTCAGGGCGCAACGGAGAGCAGCGAGATAGCGACACCACGCGCCGTAGTGATACGTAGAAACGTTATTTGTGTCGCTTACTGGTTTGTACAGAGCAACAACTCTAGATTCTATCAATCGTGCGCTTCTGCACGCATTCAGTATACATGCATACGCCTCGAGTTCGTTGTCATGGACTTATTCCTGTGCTTGCTCGTGGTCGCTGAAACCATCTTTGCCGGTTGCATGCGGAGCTATGCAATGCATACTTGTCGTTAACTTAATTGTAACCGTTCTTGTTCCCAGTTTCAATCAAAACTGGGTCCTGTGGGCGAACCACGTGCAAGGTCCGTATTTGGGCTCCGCCCTTGTCACGCCGCCTCGTTCAGGCTCAACTCCCTTTGTTTCCTTTCGAAATCAAGTCAAAGGCGAAAAATATGCTACTGATGGGAATCGGTCTAAAATTCGAACACAAACGACCTCCATACTCAACGACATTAGCACTGCTTGTAATATTACAAACGTACATCGCTGCTGGGTCATACAGAGCACCTGTAAACGACGTGCGGGGTACAACAGTCACTCATGCCAAGAATGCGGCTGTTTTCTGCCGCCTAACATATGAGGAAATCTGCGCTCCGTGACCATCATGCATCACTCGTCACAAAAAAGACCAAGACGTTCGTTCGTACGTTCGTCGGACACGAAGCGCAACAGTTTGTAGATAGATCGATTGATGTAGAACTTTGACATATTTCCTTCTTTCGTTCTCCGCGTTCAAGGCGCGGCCACCGGAGGCGCCGGAGGAGTGTGCCAATCGAAACTACAACAGTATGTACTGCTGTGGTTCACGTACTTCCCAGCACAACACTGTTGTAACAGCACAGCAGTGGTACTATGATACTACAAGCAGCACAGCCGAGCTGAAGATGGCGGTTTCTAGAGCGACCTCTCGCCTTCCCTTGTCCCCGTTCAAGGCGCGGCCGCCGAAGGCGCCAGAGGCGCCGGAGGTGGCCGCCATTCCAACCCTGTTATGATTATGTACTCAAACAGCAGTACTAAATGTAGTACCACGTTTTTAGTATTACTGCAAGTAAGCTGGGTTGGAGGTAGATGGTGATTTTACCTCTTTCTTCTATTCCTCTTTCTTTTCTCCCCGTTCAAGGCGCCGGAGGTGGCCGCTATTCAAAACCAGGTTCATACTTCCCAGCAGCAGTACTACTCAGTGTTACCACAAGTGTAGTAGCACGGTTGGAGATAGAAGACATTTTCTAGACCTCTTCTTCCCTTCTCTTCCCCGTTCAAGGCGCGGCCGCCGAAGGCGCCGGAGGCGCTGCAGGTGGCCGCCATGCGTTCGAAACTATGTATATACTCCATGTAGAGCCATACCGTAGTCTATAATAGGGCAAAACGATCACTCATCATCAAATAATCACCACCTCGAGTAATATCTACGTTCAAGTCACAAAGTGGTGAGAATAGTTACCACAAAAAAAAACAAACTGGGATCGTCCCGCAGAACTCCTCTGCGGGCAATGCTATTGACAATACTTGTATTACCTCCGCACACCCGCCAAAGGTCTGTGTAACAAGTTCTGCTTGTTGTGTGCCGTCATCTGTTAACAATCCGTGGGTAGCGAGAACGGTAGAGAAACGCACCTCTTCTCCGAAGAAGGCCAGCTTGCGCTCCAGCTCGTCGATGCGCTTGATGTACGCCACGTATCTCCGCTGGAAGGCCGTCAGCTCCGGGTTGAGGTCCGTGAACTGGATCATGCCGAGCTTCCCCAGGTCCGAGATGCACGTGTGCGCCGCGTCCTCGTTGACGATGATGGAGACATAGGCCATGTCCTCTGACCGAAACCATCTCGCCATGGTTCTGCTGCTGCGGTGCCGTCAGGCCACAGGAGACAGACAGGGCAGGGGACGAGGCACATAAGCGTAACTGCTGTGAGATGTGGTGGGAATGGCATGTTGAGTTATTGCTGTAGCTCGGCTACTGCTGAGCACACGCTGCTACTGCTGAGCACACGCTGCTGCTGCTGCCGCTGCCGCTGCTGCTACTGCCAAGCGCGAGAAAGCACGGCACCGAAAGAACAGGGCAAGAATAATCGCGAGGATGGAATCGGTGCTGTACCGAAGAACCCAAGGTGCAATCGGCCAAACTCATACCATGGCTGCACGTGAACGTCATCAACAGCTAGCGCCACCACCTGTTCACTCTAGTCCCCCTTCGGTGTGAAGCTGAGGCCTCTCTGCTAAAAGGCTTCTGCTGCTGGTGCTGGTGCTGTGTGTGCTTTGCCGTGACGACAACAAGTACTTCCCAGTTTGCCACTTTCAGAATTGACGATCACGTGGAGTTAGTTTTACCTCAGCTGACCTTTGCTGGCAACACTAGCAGCCTTACCTTGCACCCGCGGGGGATCTCTCAGTCTCTCTTAACGAGAGAACGCTGTGCCCTTTGTAGCCGCCTTCCAAGGACGGACGGCGTGACCTGCCCTGCCTGTTGCGTCGATCTGCACAACGCACAACTGCTCGCCGGCGGCTGGGGACCGGCGGCTGGCGCGCGCGCGGTAAATAAAGAATCCGAACCTTTTGTCGTTGGAAACCCTACCAAGAACAGCAGTCAGAGGAACTCTGCGCGCGAACACATGTGTCTGCGTTCTTTCGCCATATTTGCCTCTCTTTCCTTGTGTGCAGCTCCCGAGTGTGCGTTCAACAACGCTTCAGCATGCCCACCAAAGTAAGACAGGGTGTGTGGAAAGCGGATTATCCCTCTCGACCCTGGACGCACACGATGCGTGACTCTCTTTTACCCAGTTAATTACGTCAAGATTGGGTGGAACGTTTGGGATTGATCGTAGGTGGTCATGTCTTCACAACACCCCGTGGCAGCCGGCATGCAGAGTTCTGAGTGTGGACTTGCAGGAAGAAGTGAATTTCGTCATGATGTAGTGTGGCCATGACTTATACAGGTAGTAGGTGGTGGTTGCCTCTTTCCTGTTGGTATCACAACGCCTAGGACATATCTGACATTCGTTGAAGACTGGAGGACTCCAGAATATGTGTCGTTGATTTCTATTGACTTGCGGACCCCTCGGGGCCATTTTATTTCAGTGTACCATTTTAGGGTAAGTTAGCCTGCGACCACGGGAATCGACCGCGTCGAGTGTTGTATCAGTACGGACATACGAAGGTACTGGGTAGAGAGAGATCGGAACGGTTATTAATGTGAAGACAGCAACATCTTCCGGCCGACGCGATTGTCGTCCGAGCAACGTCGTGATTATGATTATGAGAGACCTTGTGTTTGTAACAACACAGCCGAACACCCGAGCTTATATCTGTTACGGCATCCCACGCAGTTGCGTGGACCACCAATCAATCAATACAACAGCTTTCATGAACACCTCAATCAATAAAACAGACTTCAGGAACTCCCGCAAAATCGACAAGACGATACGATGATACTCCGAGAGAAGAACGCAAACCACGACCAACCCACGACGGCAACCACAACGCTACAATTAAATAAGCCAACTGTCTGCGGGAGGCGGGGACACACACACACAAAAAAATTACATCCCCGGGGCATGACATACTCCTCGCTTGAGGAGTTAATTGTACACATCAATCTCCGCCATCTCCAGCTTGGGCGTGCAGTTCGTCCGCTCCGCGGACGCCGTCAACAAGAAGCCGGTCACGGCCATGACCGCGTCCCCCTCGGACATGGTGAACTCCGGTTTGAGATCCGCCAAGTCAGGCTCCATCGGAAACGTGGCAGGACAGCCCACGACGTGCTGCTCCTCCTCCTCCTCCTTCTCCTCCTCCTTCTCTGGGCTGCCAGCCCCCGCACCCGCCGGGGCGGCCGGCAACCGCCTGACGAACCCGGAGTCCTGGACCACGGTAACGGCCGACAGAGTACGCGCCCACTCGACAAGAAACCGATCTCCGGGTCGCCGTCTCGCCGGGAAGACCCCTCCGGCCAGGCTTTCTCCAAAGTACAGCGTTGTCTCCACAAGGTCCTTGCCGATGAGGAGGGCCCCCTCCCCGGGCAAGTCCTCGACGTTCTCCTCCTCCTCGGTAAAATCGTCCCCCAACATCTGTCGTTTGGCGGCGGCGGCGGCCGTCGCGGCGGCGTTGCCGGGCGGCCCGTGGACCAGCAGCCCCCTCCTCCCCGGCGACTTGTCCGCCTCGAGAGTTCTAATCCTGGCGGCGAGGTTCGCGGCCACGAGGTAGTGCTCCACCGGCAGTAGCAGCAGCCACCCGGCGTCCGGGAACGCCTCCGACAGCTCGCGAAGCCGGGCCAGGTCGCCCCTCACCCCGGCGTGCTCCCTCCCGCTCGCGGCCAGCATCCGCCGCTGACGGAGGCCGCCCCCCGGCCTCCCCCACGCCGCCTCGATGCGTTTCTCGTCGAGCTTGGATAATCGGCGCGTCGGCGAGTACACTCCGATCGCGACCTCGGACAGAGCCTCGGCCGTCTGCGCGGGGGTCATGTCGTCGCAAGTGCACGCCCGCGACGACACGAAGTCCAGGTAGTGCATGTACTTCCCCGGCACGTAGTGGAAGAGGGCCGAGCGCTCGGGAATCATCACACCGCCGCCGCCGCCGCCGCCTACCGCTCTCGGCACCCCCAGGCGGGGGTCGAAGTAGTAGCCCGGCGGCTCGTGCGGGAGCTCATCAAGGTGCACCCAGCTGTGACCGAGGTGTTCCACCAGCCTGGACGAGAGTTGGGTGGCAACGGCGCGCGCAGGTGTCTAGCAGGTTAAAAGCAGTGCATGCGGAAATGGCGCGTGTTTCGCGTCGCATGATAGACGTTGCCGGCGACAGCAGGGGGCTACGACAATCATCGATGGTGGGCTGCCTGGAATGACGCCATGCAGGAAGATACAGGCGAGTCGCAGTCGATGTTCTCTGCTGTAAACACAATCACTGCAGGACAAGCGCACGCACAACTGGTACCTAGCGTGCGTCTACTACAACACAAGCGGCACAAGCATACCAGGTGTATAAGCGAACAGAGGGACGCACACGCGAAGCAGGATTTCTCGTGCCAGTGCCGTTCTCCAGTCGTGCACTCTCCCTCTATCTGCCTTCTCCTTCCACAACTCACTTCTGGAACGCGATGTCATGGAACTTGTCCTCTTCGGCTGCCTTGTTGACGTCGCCGCCGGAGCGCTCCACGATGCCTTGATACCACGGCTCGAGGTGCGGCGAGAGCTGCCGGGTCATGGCTCGGCTCGTGATGACGCTGGCGCCCCCGGCGACCTGATTTTATGGTCGTGTTCCGGGTGGCAGCAAGACAAACCGTGTTATTGTTGATACGCGATGATCACGCCGGAACACGGTATTTGCCGAGCGACCAGTCAACAGCTTGCACGCGACAGGCTGCCTTTCGCAAGTACAGAATACTCTCTCGCAAGTACAGAGAGCGGCGGAAGAATGACAAACGTAGAGGGCACATGTCCGGTTTGTCGCCTACCGGGACTGAATAGACTTGGTCCCGTAACGTCCACGACTGCCCTGTAGCACAACGTCTACCTGCAATTGCACGTATCGTTTGCTTGCGTCTTTGTAGAACCGGGGGGGAGGGGTTGAGTAACGGCCGATAACAACTGTTCACGCCCCGTCCTTCTGCACGTCAATCCGGTATGGACATTTATTTCTTTTCAACACCAACACGAACAAGCACCTTGCAGCCAAACTTGTTCCTGTGAACCATGCGTGAGAGAGCTAACGGCTCTTCTGGGTCGAAGGCCGAGAGGGCGTTGATGTAGTTGTCCAGGAGCACGTAGTTGTCGTCACCGAGGACGACGAACCACTTCTTGGTGGGGTAGGCCTCCAGCATTAGGCGCAGGCCGATGAAGGCCTTGCCCAGCGTGCTGAAGTAGTCGTCTTGCTCGATGCCGGTATCTGACCGCGAGCCAGGTGTGTTGACGAGGGTGGAGAATATTAATTCGGAGGTCGTGTATGTTTGAAATAGCGCAAGTTGACGACAGGCAAACCGCTGCAATCTAATCAACTTCTACTGAAGCTGAATTTACTGCTGTACGATCAATCCCAAGAGTGCAGAAAAAACGTCACTGAGATATCCGCGTCTACTTGTGGTCAAGTGAAGAGGCAAATCACAGAAACGTTTTCGAGCAGCCCATCGACGCCCCCCTCCTCGTGCCCCCCATCCTTGCTCGCAAACACTCTTGCACGACACCTCTACACACAAAACACACAGGCTGTATACTACAACGCGGATGCCACGTCGACACGCTACAGCAGCAGGCAGCAGCGGGTATGGCTGCTACAACATGGGAACGGCAGACTCTCCTCACCAAGCAAGTGTGGCCGCGATCCGGGCACCCCTTCCCGAAACAGCTTGCTCTCCCGCACGCCGACCGACGAGGCCAGCAGCACCACCTGGACCCGCCTTCCCCACGTCTCCAGCAGGGGCTGCAGCCTCCCCTCTGTTGCCAGGCTGTGCCACACCCCAAACACCACCTCCGTCTTGTCCAGCTCGAAGGCGCACGTCTCGCGCTTGTTCTGCTCCGGCCGCCGCACTCCTCTCTCCTCGTCTGAGCACACCCCTGGAGAAATCGTCCGCGGCACGCATGCTCTCGGTGGTGCTGCTGCTGCTCTTGCTGTTGAGGAAGCACTGCTTCCCGGAACGGAAAGCACGCGGCGCAGAGCTTTACGAGTGCTCGGCGGAATGGGCCCTGCAGAGTGATCGTGGTCGTTGGGGTCGACAGCTTCTGGGTAAACAGGGTGCTGCGGTTGTTCGTCTCTGCCGCCGTTGCCCGCGATGCGAAGGAGAAGATAGATGGTAATTACCTGGGACAGCGCCAGGCATGTCAAGACTAACGACTTCCACGAGGAAAAGAAGGGGCTTATCCATGGTGGCGACGCCGACGCCAACCGGTGTCGTCGCATGGTCTGGCTGCTGCTTGTGATAGACTACAAGACCACAGAGGCACCAGCCGGCACTGCTGACGGCGCGCAGAGCGGAGGGGCCCCGACGAGCATTCCCGGACCCCCCCCCTTGTAGCTCGCTTTACAGTCCGGCGAAAACTGGCTCTATTATCGTTGCCTGAGAGGATCGGCGGTGGCACGCACGGTCGAGAACCATGTACGTACGTATACGACGGTGCAATATGCGGGGGCTGCAAGCGCGTGAGAGCTTCAGTCCTTGGTGCTGCCGTTCGCTGAGATGTGTTCAATATCCAGAACATGGTATGTAGACTATGTACAGGAAAAGAAATCCGCCGTATGTATGTTCTAGTGCTCGGCAGCAGCAGCAGCAGCAGCAGATGTTGTTGCAATGCTGAGTTGTTTAGCAGGATGTTCAAAAGTGCGTTCTGATGGGTGTTTTCGTCCCGTCTGTTCAATGCGCCAGTCTACACCTTCCGGCATTGTCCCACCCGGACAAGGTGAAACACAGGTAAACATCTAATTTATCTACTACCTACCGCTGCTGCTGTAGAGCGGTCGAGCTACACATAAATGTAGTCTAGACAACACAATGGAACGCGCCCGCACCGTAAAAACTGAATGCATACCTCAAACGTAGTGCAATGAAGAAATTCAGCTTACAACATCAAACTTGACTCATTGGAGAGTCTGCTTAGAAGAAAACCTCACATTATCCGAAAGAGAAGATTTTACACAGCACATAGCAGTCGTCGTGGACTTGCACACATCCTACTATGAAATTGTAGCTTTCAATGGTGGCGACGAAATGATCAGAAGAAATGCAAAAGTGAGGCTCGGACCCTGAAATCGAATTTCCTAAATACTGCTGTCGTAGGCTAGTTTCCTTGCTACGAGCACCTTCTACTTTAAATATTGCGATTTCACCACTCGGCAGAGATGCCAAACCTTCAAGTCAGAGGGTTCACGGGCTGTGTAGTAACTGACTCACGGGCGACCGGGAAGACTTCCGAGAATACCAATCTTTACGTTGTCAGGGTACACGTCACTTAACGTTTTGGCAGCCCCACAGACTACTGCCGTTAGCACGTGCTTCTGAAAGTTGTGTACTGCTATCATGCATTGAAAATGACGAACCACGTTGCTTCGATGTTAGATACTGAATTGTTGTCGGGGAAAAAATTGCGCGTGCGCAAACCCAGCATACGGCGACATCAGTCACCGAAAACACAAGTGGATTATTATGGCATGGCTACCAACAACGCGTTACACAGACCAAAAGCTTGGCTTTTCCCCAAAATGGACAGTGAAGAAATAGGCGCAACCCCGGCTTTGCCACACAATCGTATCACGCATGCTACAATCAATCGAGGTTACAAAAATAATCATGAAAACAAAATCCATCTCTAGAAGACCTTAGAACAAAAACGGAACGGCCGAAACGCCCCTTCCTCCAATAGCAATCCATCCCCCGGCGAATGCAACGGGCAACTTTAAGTACTTCACACAAAAAAACTCTGGGGCTGTTGTTCACCTCTTGACCTTGGCACAGCACGTTTGTCGGCGACGCGCAAGCGGTCCAAAAGACTTTGACGCCGCTCGCAGCAGACTTGTTTAAAATACCGTATGACTAAAGGAGCCCAGCAATAAGAGTGTACGATATACGTACAAGAATTCGAAAAAAGTTCAAGCACAAGCGGGGGCCTCTCCCCTATCCCAATCTCTCCGCGATCTCATTTCACGACGTCCGCCCTTCACGAACAGAAACGCAGGAAAGGTGAGAAAATAAAAATCAAAGGCGAGCGATGTTGACTTGGACTGCTGCTGCGGAAGCGCAGACAGACACGCCCAGCCACGCTTACGCGCAACGCACGCGCAGCAGCCTCAAAACAACACCTCTATCGAGGAAGAAGAGGCAGGCAGTTCCACAAGACGGTCATGGCAAAAAAAAAAAAGAAGCAGCAGACCGGGATCAAGACGAGTAGATTGCCGAGGTGAGGTCGCGGTCTGCCGGATTGCCCGGGGCGGAGGGTATCGGGCGCCTCTTGTGTATCACCTCCGCCTCCGCCCGGTTCATCTGCCTCACCCCGACGAGGATGCCCAAGACGCCGATGCACAGCAGCCCGATCCACAACCCTTGCAGCGCCACGTTGACGCCGTCAGACAAGTCCTTCCCGAGCTGGACGAACCGGTAGTCTTGCTTGGACGCGATCCCGGCGATGGCCCAAGCAACAGCCAGGAGGTACGGCTGATCATGACAACAAAAGAAGCCGAGGGGGGTGGGTACATGTGTGGGTGGGGTGGAAGCTTTTTTTTTACTGCTGCGTTTTTTTGGTTCAACTGTTTTTAATTGAATCCCTTTGCAAAGTTGATCTTTCTTGGGTTGGCATATAGCTCAAGATCACGGATCTCCAATCCGCGCCAGCTTGACTCGTCCCGAGAACCGGAGGTAAACGGGTGGCGGTCAACATCTTCATGTCCATGCCCAAGACAGCAACAACGATAGCAAAAAAACGCAACACTACTGAGGCGGCTTCTTCAAGACACACACGCACACACGAACGCACGGGGACACCAGTCTCCTACGGGACACGGGATGCGGTGATAACCCTTGCTCCGCCACGGGAGGGCACCGCAACCGAAGGGGCACCGCAACTGGGGACAATGGAGCACCAACCTGGTTGTGGAACACCAGCGAGATGAAGGCCGCTCCCAAGGCCGCCCCAACGAGACTGAGGATGAGGGCGGCAAGCTCAGAGCCAGTGTCGCCCCTCAGCTCGAGCGCCACGTTGATGTTGACGATGGCGGCTGTTGTCGTTTGAACACGTCGCGTCGCGTGGTCATGCCAAGCGCACGCACGTGTTTTTTTTTCGGCAACGCGCAACGTGTTTTGAGGGCGGCGCGCAGTGGGGAAGCACACCAGAGGTCTTAGCGTCCAAGGTCGCCGAACAAAACAACGTTGCGGTGTGTGAGGAAAGAGAGTACATTTTCCTATGGAAGTATGCATATTACATTTTCTCGCTCATGACGCTCTCCTCCGAGTGTGTCACCACGCGGGTTGACAGTTGCTCGAACGATGAGTTATTTCACGACGTCAAACGTATTGTGCATGCGATGCTCATTCGCTCGCTCGCTCACCCGCCAGAGTCCAGCCTCCGTGCAAGCCTATCGGGAAATACACGCCCCAGAAGGGTAGGGTGAACAACGTGATCCCCTCCTCGCACTGGATCAGGCTGAGGGAAATCACCGCCAGGGTGAGCGACAACGTGATAAGGCACAGGAGGATGGCGCTCACGATGAGCAGCTCCTGCGCGAACACGATGCTCCAGGCCGCCTTTTTTTTTTTACATTTTCGATGTTGCAGGCGAGAAGGAGGTACGAATGCAGGGAGGGGTGAGGGGATGAAAAATATATGTAGGGGGGAGACGGGATGCGAGCTGAGAGGTGGACGAAGAGGGGGGCGGGGGGGGGGGGGGGGGGGGG